CCCTGGCTGGTGTGACTCGGGACTGAGTGCTGGCCTGCAAACCAAAGGACCTCTGGTTTAATTCCCATTCAGGGGCACATGCCTGGGTCGTGGGCCAAGTCCCTGAATTGGGGTGCAGGAGAGGCAACCACACATTGATGTTTCCCTCTCTTTCTCCCTCCTTTCCCCTTTCTTTAAAAAATAAATAAGTAAAATCTTAAAAAAAAAATTGTAAGATTGCCCAGGCTTCTTAACTGATCAAATCTTACATTTCTTTTTCCTAGTCTGCAATGAGCTTGCATTGCTTTTACGGAAGCCGATTTGGGAGGTGGATCACCAGTCAAAGGTGAGCTATTATTTGAATATATTAACTCTGGACACTTTTTCTCAACCTGGTTGTGGTTATACAGTGGTATAATTTTTTAATAGTATTTAAACTTGATATTGTAATAATTTTATATCTGACTGAAAGTTCTTCCTAAACTCGTTTATCGCTGTGAATTATGCAGTGACTATATATTAAGAGTTTAGCAAGAACCAGACACTTTGCTGTGTGTTTTCTGTGCATTTTTACTGAGTCCTCACAATAGTAGAGCCCATTTCATTAGGTGGATACAATTATTGCTCATGTTTTATCTACAGGTAAAATGATGTTTTCAGAAGTCTCGATAGGAAATGGCGGATTGAGTCTTTGACCTGCACCAACTTTCCCTGATCACAGTGTCGTTTTGTTGGGTTTTACTGTAACTTACTTAGCCATTTACCTTGCGTAATTTATTGCCAAATTTTGTTGTTATAAATAAAGCTGCAGAAAACATCTTTATGTAGAAAGCGTTTTCCAAATTCAGGAAATATTTCCAGAAGCAAAGTTATCAATTCTAAACATTTTTCAGGCTCTTGGTAAATACACAGCAACAGATAAGAAAGAAAAATTTCAGCCCTGGCTGGTGTAGCTCAGTGGATTGAGCGCGGGCCTGCGAACCACAAGATTGTGGTTTGATTCCCAGTCAGGGCATATGCCTGGGTTGCAGGCCAGTTCCCAGCAGGCGACACACGAGAGGCAACCATACATTGATATTTCTCTCCTTCTCTCCTTCCCTTCCCCTCTGAAGATAAATAAAATCTTTAAAAAAAAGAAAGAAAGAAAAATTTCAGGAAAATTTGAACTCAGGATTGATATTTTATGATATTAAGGAATTATTGTTCATTTTCTAGGCATGCTAATGGTACTGTGGTTATATCTTTTCAAAGAGCCCTCCCTAGAAATACAGAGTGAAATATTTATTACAAATGAAATAATATTATCTAAAATTTACTTGAAAATAACCCAGTTGAGGGAGGAGTAGGGGATTGGTAAAAAAAAAATTAAGCATGTATTGATCACTGATAAAGTTGGGTTATGGGTACATACATGTTGATTATGTTATTCTCTCTGCTTTTGTACATGTTTAAAAATTTCTACCATAGCCCTGGCCAGGTAGCTCAGTTGATTAGAGTGTTGTCCTGATACACCAAGGTTGCATGTTTGATCCCCAGTCAGGGCACATACAAGAATCAACCAGTGAGTGCTTAGATAAGTGGAAAACAAATCATGTCTCTCTCTCTCTCATCAATTGAAAAATAAAACAAATAAAAATTCTATGATAAAAAGTTTAAAATAAAGCTATGAAAATATTATACAATCTACAAGAGATGCCAGCCCCATAATTCCTGTTCTGCCTAATTAGCGTAAAACATAAGGGAAAAAAGGAGACTTTAGAACAGTTTTGTTCAACTCCCTCTTGCCATCAAACAAGAATTAAAGTCTCCCTGAAACCATAACATATGAGTCAATTTTGTTTTACTAAAACTTTCATTTATTTTTTAATAGGAATATAGAACTGGAAAGAATCTGAGCAAGCTGATCCTCATTCCTTTAAACCTCTTAGAAGCTCTTCTGCATCACAAATGGTGGGTGCTCTTGGACAATTTCACGGACACACGTCCCGTCCTGGCTGCCCTCTGGTACAGGCTTTGTCAGTTCCAGAAATGGGCAGTGGAGAAGCTCACCGATGGTTTTAATTTATTTTTATTTTTATTTATATTTTTATTTTTTATTAAATTTTATTTAGTTACTTTTCAAGTACATTTTTTTTAACTTTCTCCCCCCCCCCGTTCCCCCTCTCCCCCCCCTTGTGTCTAAACCAAAGTGTTTTGTGTCTCATGGTGAATATCAAGCATTGGCTTTTATGGTGAGCATTGTGCATTAGAGACTGTCCCCTGGGGGAGGTCACAGCACCAAAAGGAAAGACAGCTTGGGGACAAATCCAGAAGAGGAAGCTGGTGAAAGGTTGCAGACAACATGGTTCCCCCCTCTGCAGGGCTTGGCGTTTCAGTCTTCAAGAGTCCTTAAGGGGAAACAAAATCTAGCACACCCCGCCCCTCTTTTTGTTCTGGCTTGGCCACAGAAACAGGAATGTCTACCTATCCTTATATATATGCCACGTGATTTAGGAAATGAGATCTTTTAAGACCGAGTTCACTCCCTTAAACAAACACCACTACTGCAAGCTTTCATTAATTTCTATGGATGTTGGATATAAAGTCACCGAGCCACTGCCCCCCTCTGTCCGACCCTACATGGGGAAGATACACACTTTTCCCAGGCCGTGGAGACTCCATCCTAAGGATTCAGACTAGAGGGTTTTGCCTCTGTTTTCTCATGGTGCTGCTTGGCTCTCTTGATGGGTCTTGTCATTTTGAAGCTTCTGAGACACAGAAAGAAATGATATCTGTCACCCCACCGTGGAGTGAGAACGAGAACTATTCTGCCTCATTCCAGCAGCTTCTAGCCTAAAAATATCTCAACTCAGCTTGCAGGAACTTTTTTCTATCTTTCCTTACGGGAGACAAGGCTGGAGGTGGTCAGGACCTCCCAAACTCGAGCTGAGTAGAACATGTGTCTATAAGAACCGAGGAGAAGAGAAGAGCTGGGAGGCATTTCCTTAAGTTCAACAGGCCCGGGGAGGACCCTTCCCTCTCATTTAGACGTCACTCCTTCAGCAACTAATGGTTATTGAGGGCCTAGTCTTGCAAAAGGGGAAGAGACAAGACCCAATCCCTGCTCTCCTGGAGCTCATGATTCAAGGACAGACGTGGTACTAATGACCTGAATCACTCTTTTGATAAATGTCACAAGAACAGACACGGGACCAGAGGGACCCAGGTCACTCTGATTGACAACCCAGGGCCAAAGGGGAATGGGTTACCAGGGTGACAGGTTCAACTTCATCTCTACTGGAGAAAGAGTTTGGTGAAGGTGAGGAGGTCTGTGAAGAAGGAGGTGGATATTGCCGGGAAAGGCTGGGTTGCAATCTTGACTGACCTTCAGAAAGGGGAGAAAAGGCCAGGAGGTCTCCCGTTGTTCCCAGGGCTCTGTTGGCATGAACATGAGCCAGAATTATAGCCAACACACTAATTCTATAGCCAAGCTCAGGAAAAAGGTCCCTGAGTTGTGATCATGGCTGCACGGGGCCTTGAGGGATGGCAGCCAGGCCCCCAGTTCCCGCATCCTTCTGTGTGACGCAAGCAGGTCGCTTCCAGGGACTGCTGCCCCCCCCCCCCCCCCGTGAGCACCCCTCCCTGGCACTCCACCCATGGACGAGGTGCTCACAGGTGAGGGCCAAATCTTCTTATCAGGCATTTTCTTTTTTGGCAGGCAAGTTTTCTCAAATACTGTTAGAAAGGTGTTAGCAGGGACTGAGGAGGGGCGGAGAAATGCCAGCAACCCTATTGTCTCCTGTATCACTGTGAAAGTTGTCTATTTCCAGCCCCGTGTTTGAGATGAAAAGAAAAGTCTCGTGGGGAACTTTGTTTGGTGATCACAGCGGACACCCCAGGGCTTGCCCTCGCTGACACCTCACTCTTAGAATACATTTCCTGGCACCAATGGACACATTGAGGTCTCTCCTGAAGGCCAGTCTGCTGGGCAAGGAGCAGACCACCAGCGATGTGTGACCTGGGTGGCGGAGCTCGCTGTGGCTTGGAGGGAATATGAGAGCCCGGACTCACAGGGAACAAGGTTCAGATGAGTTGACAGTAGCCAATGGATGTTTAGAAAAAGACTGAGTAAGGGCCCAGTGAGATGGAGACATAAGCTCTGGATTTGGCAGAGTGGAGGTCGTCAACAATGTGACAGGAACCGCGTGAGGGGAGCAGTGGAGGCGGGAGCCGCTTCGGAGTTGGTTAAAGAGGACAGGAGAGGGGAAAAGTCTTTCAAGAAAGACAGCAGAGCCCTGGCTGGTGTGCCTCAGTGGACTGAGTGCTGGCCTGCCAACTGACAGGTTGCCAGTTCCATTCCCAGTCAGGGCACACACATGGGTTGTGGGCCAGGTCCCCAGTTGGGGATGTGCAAGAGGCAACTGATGTTTCTCTCCCTCTTTCTCCTTTCTTTCCCCTCTCTCTAAAAATAAAGAAATATAATCTAAAAAAAGAAAAGACAGCAGAGAACAGTATCCTGTAGGTAGCCTCGGGCCAGAGGGAGGGGGTTTGCAAAAGAGAGGTACTAGAGCACGTTTCTGTGTTGATGCGAAGGGTCCAGCAGCGAGGAAGAAATCGACTATGCAGGAGAAAGAAGGACAGCAGCCGCCTGCTAGAAAGCCAGCGAGTTTAGGGCCCTGATAAGCTCAAGAATGGAAACAGAGGGCGTGCACGCAAATATCACAGGTAGACTCGGTGGTCAGAATTTCTGTCTGGCTGGGCCTGCACTTCCAGGAAAGGATGAAATGAGGCCATCAGCTGGGTGGGGGGGGAGGTGTGTGTCGCAAGAAACAGCAAGCAGTTGTCCCAGAGTGTGGGAAAGTGAATTTGCTCAGGAAGTACAAGCTGGCCAGGGTTGAATGCCCATTTAAGGTCTGTGATTCTCAACTCAAAGTGGAAGCACTGAGTGAGACTAGAAGCAGAGACACAGGTGAAAGTTCATGCGGGCTTTGGAGATGGAAAGAAACAGAGAGATTCGAGATAGAGTTTGGATGTGCCCAAACCAGGACTTACTTGTAGATTGGATATGACCAGGAAAGGATGAAACCAAGAATAACTCACTGTTGCCATGGTAGGTGTGGCTCAGCTGGTTGAAGCGTCGTCTTGTCCTGTAGACTGGAGGGTCTTGGGTTTGATTCCTGGTCAGGGCACGTACCCAGGTTGTGGGTTTGATCCCCAGTGGGGGTACATATGAGAAGACAACCAATCAGAGTTTCTCTCTCCCATCAATGTCTCTCTCTCTCTCTTTCTGAAAGCAATGAAAAATGTCCTCGGGTGAGGATTAAAAAAAAGCAATAACTCATTATTAAATGGGTGGGCGGTGGTGTCACTGATAAGATGTGGGTGGGCAGAGACCAAGAGTTCCTTAGAAGAATTTGAACACAACATGGCTGTCAGGCATCCATGCAGACCAAACAGGCAGTCGGGTAAGGCCGGCATAAGAGAAAGGCACCATGTTTTCTCCTCTGCTCTGAAATGTATGAAAACCTCACCATGAGCTGAGCCCAGCCTGTGAGGTCCACCATCCTAACTCGCACAAAGAGGAGGAAAAGTTTCGGCACTAGACTGCAAGTTCTTCGCAGGCAGGACTGGGGATTTGATCACTGCTGTGTCTCTATCGCCTTGCAGGAGCCCGGAAGACAGGAGGCGCCCCATCGGTATGTTCCGGCTGTGCAGATGGAAAACTTCATGGTTTCCACCCCAGCCTTAGCCTCTGGAAACTGGGTGACATTCTAAAGTCTGGGAAAGACCTTCATAGCTTAATGAGCGAGGCCTCACTAATTACAACAGTGATGACAATGATTTGGGGATGACTAATAGTCAGGAAGGGCCAATGGCTCTTCCGAATAATCCCTTAAATGGGTCACACCACGGTGTCTCAGAGTAATGTGTGACAGGTGGGCGTAGGAGGGTGAGGGTGAGTGGTTGGAAAAGGAGAGACGTCATTCTAATTCCACCAGTTGGAGGGGTTTGCTTTGTGACCTCAGGTTGGCTGCTCACCTTCTACAGCCCTTTGAAAAATTTTTTATGGGAGTGATAGAGATCTATCATTCCAAATGGCCACACAGATAAAATAGCACCTTTGCAGCAAAGCAGGAAACCTATAAACCAGAGGCTGAGCGTCAGTCCACAGAAGCAGGGATGGTCTCTGCTTCAGGAAACTTGACCGGGTCCCTGGACACTGTGAAAGAGGCCAGTCATTTTCTAGCCAGTAAACAACTGTGGGACTCAACCATGAGAAGGGCAGATGGGGAACGTAGTGTGTGTTTTCTCTGCTCTTTGTGTGTCCCAGGGACACCTGGAGAGTGTCCCAATTCCTCTGGCTAACCTGAGCGGGTGCTGCCCGTGGGGCGGAGGGCCTCTGCTCATCTCCCGTTGACGAGTTAGTTACGCAGCCCCATGATTGAAACCACCAGGGACTGGAGGGGAACAGGTGCCCGGAGCATGGGCATGCCACAGAAAGAGAGAAGAGGGAACTGGCATTGGGTGAGGAACAGAGAGGCCGCGGACGCAGAGTCTTCCTACAGAAGCGAGGCCGTGTGGTAGGCAGCCACGAAAGCAGCCGTAGAACAATAGAGACGGAGGCTTGTGGGATTTAAGTATGGAAATGGCCTAACCTTTGTGACTTTATAGAAGAGAAAACGGAAGCCCAACAGAGGTCATCCACTTATTCACCAGGCATTTTTTAAGAGCCAACTATGTGCCAGGTGCTGAGCCATTGTTTTGGTTAACTATTGTTGCACAACGCATCACTCCCAAATTCAGAGGCCTAGAACAACAGTTATTTTGTTCCGGTTCGCACCTCTGTGGGTTGACTGAGCTCAGCTGTGGGGTTGTTTTGCCCCATGTGGTGATGACTGAGGCCGTGGTCATCTGGGGCAGGACTCAGCTAGAACCTCCCAGATGCTCACTCATGAGCTGGCCGTTGATGCGGACTATTGGCTGGAGATTAGCTGGCCATTGCACCAGCATGCCTGGGTTCTCTTCTACATGGCTTCTCCACGTGGCTTGGGCTTTTCAAAGCATGGTGACTGATTTCTAAGAACCAGGAAGTGGAAGGTGTCAGTCCTCTTAAGGCCTGGGCTTAGAAGTCCCAGAATGTTGCATTTTATTGGTCAAAACTAGTCATAGGGTATATTAGTTACCACTGCTGCATAACAAATAATCCCCAGATTTAGTGGTTTAAATGATGATAAATATTCATCTCTTGGTTTCTGTGGATCAGTCAGGAATTCTGGGGCAGTTTTGCTGGTAGTTCGGTCCTGGAACACCTCATGGGATGCAGTCAAATGCCAGCCAAAGCTGGACTCATCTGAAGGCCCGATCGGGACCTGGGGCTCCGCTGGGGTCCAGCCTCCGCAGGGTTCAGGGTCCCCGAAGGATGGACTGCGCAGGCGACGAATGAGTCAGACACCCAACTGGAGCCTCTGTGGGTCTGACTGAACTCTCAGAGTTTGATTTAGGCTTTATTTTATTTTTTATTTTTAGAGATTGTTACATAACATTAAAGGAACAGGAGCATGGTGTGATCAATTAAGCAGAAAAAACCAATACAGAGGTAACTAGGAAAAGTACAAGAATTTCCATAGTTTCAGTTATGTTAAACAAAGGTTGTCTTGACCAGGAGAACCATTAATCAGACCATTTGAGATAGCTCTATATACAGAGTTTGAATGTCTTATTGTTTATTAAAGTTCTTAGAATTTGGCATGGGGCAAAAGGGTATGTTAGACCAAGAAGGGGTTAGGAAATTCATTATAAGGCCTTTGTGATGTCTAATTTAGCTATCTATCTTTCTGTCTAAAATATTTCTTTATGTACTATGAACTCTAACTCTTTGGTAATTGTTTCTACCTTCTTAGTTTGTAATAGCTAACCAGCTTCTCCTGCTTCTTTACCTGTCTAATTCTATTTAATATATATTCCTGTCCAAGGTAGAGGAGGGGCTGTTACTCCATCAACTTTTAGATATTTAGGGGCTACTTCATCAGGGGGTACTTTATTCTCTGGCCAAGAAATCATTTTGTACAACTTCATTGGAATTCTGCAGATCACTGGGCCCGAAATACAGGCGTCTAAAAATCCCACCACCTATTAATCGCAAAAACAAAGATGTAAGGAGAGATAGACAGGAAATCCAGCCACAGTTGCCTCTGCTGTGCAGATGTATCTCATCTGTCCTGACTGTGTCAAGGGACGGCTGTTGGTCGGCTCTTGACAGGGCTCCATTTCCAAGGTGGCTCATTCATATAGTTGGCAAAGTGGTGCTTGCTGTTGGCAGGAAGACTCCGATTTTCTGTCCACAGGCTGCTCCACAGGCTGCTCAAGTGTCCTCATGACATGGTGGCTGGCCTCCCCCAGACTGAGTGATCCACAAGGGCCCAGGCAGAAGCCTCAATGCCCTTCATGACATCAGGCTTGGTCACCTCTGCCACACTCTTTTTGTCACACAGACCAATCCCTGATTCACCATGACGGTGACTGTGAAAGGACATGAAGGACCAGGAAGGGAGGGTCCCTGGGACCATCTTGGAGGCGGACTGCCACACAAGGCCAACCCAGATGTCCAAGGGGTGAGGAAATAAAGCCTATCTCTGGATGAGAGGAAGGGACAAGACTCTGTGGCCATCTTTAATCCACCAGAGCCCCCAGCAACGCAGCAGAGGGCCAATCAGAGGGGCTTTGCACCCACAGAGCTTCCAGTCTGGAGGGGCACGCAGAAAAGTGGTGGCAGGGAATGGATGTGTCTGTCATCTTCATCACGCAGATGAGGCTCAGAGAAGGCCAATATGCCCCCTATCACGTAGCAAGTGACGGCAGTGCCAAGATGAATACTCAGGCCCCTCGGATCCTAAGCCAAGTCTTTCTTTCCCTCACCCTGCACAGGACTGATGCTCACCGTGTTCCTGCAGTGAATTCTCACTAGGGAATGCAAAACCGTATGTGGTGTAAGATAGGCATGTAAAGCAAATTATGTTTTTAAAAAGAACAGAAGGCAATGTAAACAAAATGTTGACAATGGTTCATAGGTGGTAAGAAAACAAGTGAGTTTTTTCTTCCTTCTTCTAGGTTTCTGTGTGTTTTTTTTTAAATACTCTAAATTGAGCTCCTATCACTTTCATAACAGAACAGCCTGAGCCTTTTCCTGCTGTGGTGGATCACAGCAGGAGCAGGAGAGAGGGGAGCTGGGGGCTTGGAGGGGAGACGGGGCAGCTGGGGTGGGGGCCGCTGTCGCTGTCGGTGGATTTTGGTTCCTCCTCTGCAGTGTGGTATTCACTGTGCTTCAAGTTTTGGGTTCTTCTGAAAGTCACCTGTGTGTTGATTAGCTCACCTGTGCAAACAAAGCTGCGCCCCTCTGCTGAGGCTGGAAGAACCTCCTGGGAAAGAAAAGCTGTGTTTCCCACACTCCGGGTATGGGCGGAGCACAGAAAACTAGAGGGTTGAAGTTTCCCTTTCTTGGTGGAATAGACCTCTAATGCTGCTTTCTGGTCCAAGATCAAGGTGACTGCCTTTCAAATGAGTTTGTGTACCAGGAAAAGAGAGAATGTTTGAAATGGATGTTTTCCTGGCAGCTCCAAGATTTGGTTATTTGAAATACTGGAAGCCTCTTTTGTTTTTCTGCAGCCACATGGTAACTTCTTTCACTTCTGTTTTTGGAGTGTGAGCGTATCATCCAGCTGTCTTCCTGAATGCATTATACGCTACGGCCAGTAGTTTCCCCTAGAGTGAAAACAACACAGCCTCCATTAATTGAGCACCTATTCTGTAAAGATGCTCTATTAAGCATTTATACATATACTATGTTTATGAGAACGTATGATGTGACTATCTCCACTACACAGATGAGGAAACAGAGGCTCAAGGAGGTTCAATATCATCTCCAAAATGACATGGCTCAGAAGTGACAGAGGCAACACCTGAACCCAGGCCCAAATGACCCCAAAGCCACTAACCTAATGCTGCTTCCCTAAAAAGAACATTATAATGACATCAGAAGACATCTGAAATCTTATATCCCTCCATCCTAATTAAAGATAGCAGTTTTGGGAGGACAGTGCAAGGTTCCTCTGTTCGAAAATGAACTTTGTACCAGACACCTCTCACATAGCCCTTGCCATCTTCCAGCCACCGCTGTAGGGGCCCGTTCTGTGAGTGCTCTTTCTGGCTCCCAGCAGGTGCAGTCTGACGGCGTCTTGTCTTGGGCTGGAAGCTGTCTCTCTCAACCCCTAGCCAGGGCATCTTCATCAACTCCCATTCGGTGTCAGGCCGGTGAAACCCACACCTCTGCCACCATCTTTGCTTTGGTCCCTGAGCCTCAGGTTCACACCCAGGGCTCACAGGCTCCCCCCGGCCCAACATATTCACACACGAGCTTTTGTCTCAAGTTCTGCTTTCTGAGGAATTCTGGCCAAAACAAAGTCAAATATTTTCTTTGTCTAAACTCCCACCCAAATATAGAGCATCTTTGTCTTCTGAACCACACAGGTGCAGGGTGCAGTAGCTACATGGAAATGGCAAAGACTAGCAATCCACCATTTCCCCGCACAGTTCTGCGTAACAGCTGGGTTCGGGGCCCACAGTGCCCACTGACTTCTAGCTACTCTATGGCAGGGTATACACGTCACCTTCGCAAGATCTAAAAAAAAAACAAATGACTTCCCCCTATGTTTAGGTGAATGAGTACGTCATTAAATGGCCAGCTGAGCCCTCCCATTCCTTTTGCTTAAGGGGCAGTGTTTCTAGTGGGGACGAGGGACACGGGGCTGGGGCCAGCACCTGGTGGCCACACCAGCTGACCCTCCATTCTGGAGTTAGAATTGTGCCCCAGGGTGATTCCGGGCAAGCTGGAGATTGACTTTCTCACGCTGGTGTGGAGCAGAGGGCCTGGTGGTTGGAAGCAAAGTGGCAAGGATGGCAGGTGATGTCAAGGTTACAGGGGACGTGAGGGAATAACTGCCCTGTGGTGTTCTCCATGCAGAGCGTTGGGAGGGCCTGCAAGAAGCAAGGCACAGAATAGGCAGGGAGCAAACTGTCAGTCTCCCAGCCTAGAAATTCCACTCTGGCTCTGCTCCACATTGATGACAAGCCACCAGTCCCCAAACAGCCCTCAGAATGACAGAGCTTTGAGACATTTATATTTAATAACCTCGGTCTCACATTGTAACTAGCAAAGTAAACAATCGACAGCACTCTGCTGCTCCATGATGGCCAGGAGTTATACACAGAAGTCATAACCCACTGAGAGATGTTCTTCTCTAAAGCCCCTAAAGATGTCCCTCAAGTAGCCCTTCCCACCCCTGCTACTTATGGGGTAAGGTGTTCTGGTGGGGATGAGAGATAGCTCAGCTCTCAGTGACAGTGGCAGTCCTTCCCATTATTAACAGGTTTTTATTTTAGAAGGTCAAGGCTGATGAGAAAGATGTTTTCCCCACCCCATCATCTCAGGGGACAGAGAGTCCCCAGTAGCCGAATGAATGGAAAGGGCTGAAGGCTGTACCATCTCTGCTTATTCTCCATGAGGAACTAGGGCAGGGGAAACCCCAGGAGTTGAGTGTCTTTGGGAACTCCAGTTCCGTGGTCACACCTGACCTTGTCATCATTCACAATTGTTGTTCTGTGAAAACTTCGCCTCCCCCCTCCCACTCCGAATGAACTCAAAATCTGGATCTTTTCTCCTGCCCCCACCTGTTCCCTCCCATTCATCTCCTCCTCCTTGGATTTCCTTGCATCTGCATCCAACATAGAACCCATGAGCAGCCCTCCTGCAATTGGCAGGACCCAAAATTGTTTTGTGTTTCTCCAGTTCCTGGCCCTGTAAGTGCCTGAGTCTGGAGTCTCCATACCTGGGCCCAGCTGCAGGGCCCCAGAAAAACCATTCATCCAACTCTGCAGTCCTGGGGCCCTCAGGACTGCCTAGAATTCTCCCTCTCAACCTGGCAGCTCCTGATTTCATTTTTCTCAGTGGCTTTTTCAGTTCTTCACTGTTTCCCTCAAAGCTGCTGTTATCACCTCTCACCCACTCTCAAGAGATGACTTTGCATCTCAATTTAGAGCTAAAAAGTAGTACATAGGCAGGAATTTCCTCAACTTTCTACTGTTGACCTATGAATGAATCCACACCCATACCTGTTCTTATCTGCATCCACCTCCTCTTGGTGTAAGAGCAGACCCTCTTCTTGCTTCTGGCGACTACCCTGTCCCTGGTCCCTCTCTCAGCCAGCCCCTTCACTCTCTGATCTCAGCTCTCCTCCCAGGGTGCCTCTGCATTTCCAGCCCTACCTATACCATTTTGGTTTGTGACCCCGATAACCTTCTCATCTCAGAATCCCAAGGTGTACTTACTGTTCAGACCTTCTTCTAACTTGACCCTTCTGAGGCATATGTCACAATTGACCACTCTCTCCTTCTCTAATCTATTCTCCTTTGGTGACAACATTCTTGTTGGGTTTTTTTAACCACCTTTCTGGTTTCTGACCATCTCTAAACAATAGTGGGGTTTTCCAGAGGTCATAAGTGCCCATTCTATGTCCCATAGCGCCTGGGATTACTTTTGCGGAAGCCTATACTGAGCTATCAATTTGTTGGTCTTTGTCTACTAGATCTAATGCCTGAAGTTCACCACGTTTACAGTTTTTTAACAAGTACCTTCATCTCCATCCCCCGTGCTGACCACACTGCCTGGTACTTACTTAGTTCTCAGTGACTGCTCACTCATTGGTGGTGCGGCTTGCGGCACCATGGATTCCTAACATTTTTTCGAGGTACAGGTGGACCAACTTTTTTTTGTTTTTGCATGCTTTGTAACCATTTCTCCTTTCAAAAGTGCAGTGCAGGGTCAAAAAACTGAATTAAAAATCTTAGACCATTTTTGGTTTAGAGTTTCATGGGAAAATAGGGATTATCTTGAAATGTCATAATTGGGAATAATGCAAGTATACCAGGACCTCTGTTGGTTTAAGCTGAAGCCTGGGTTGTGAGAGACTGGGGTGATGGGTGGGAGTAAGGTGGGGGGCAAATGCCAGAGTAATAACATTGACTTGAATTTCTATGACTTCTACCTCTACTACAGGTGGAAAAATTTAGCTCACTTTGTACATGCTGTACATATAGAGCAGCTATTTGGGGCACAAAGTAAGAAATCTTGTTCAATATCTGAATAGCATCACCACCCCCTGACCTTTGTCATAGGTCACTATAGTGAGTCACAGATGCCAAGCTGTAAAATCACTCTTTTCATTTGTAAGTTCAAAGTATATATATGTCCATATATATTTTCTTTATTTGATTTTAGTTCCATGCCAGCCCAAGGAGGCAGAATTGTTATTATCCCACTTTAGAGATGAACAACCTCAGGCTCAAAGAGATTTAATTGTATAACTCGTTCAAGGTGAAACAGTGGTAAGTTATAGCAATGGAACGTCGACTTTAAGACAGTGCTCCCATAGTACACTGTCTTTTGATGAAGATTAGCGATATTTGCTTTTTTTGCCTTTTGAAGTTATCCATCCTGTTTCTGGCAGCAAGAAAGGGCCTTGTAACAGGTGCTGGAGCACAGCAGCCAGGAGAAGCCTGGTCCTTTCGGTCATGAATGCTGGCTCTCAGCTGGTCTGTGACCTTGGACACATCACTGTCCTCTGTGAGCTTTGGCTTCTGCATCTGTAAAGTGGAGAAAAATAACAGCCATACCTACTACACAGGGATATTGTGAGGTTTCAATGAATTAATGTATACAGAGGCCTTGACATAGTATCTGTGCATTATAACTTCTTGATAGGCAGGCAGTGTTAATGTTATGTTATGCATTCATTTATTTTTCAAAGCATTCAAATTCCTCACTTTTCAAGAAGAAGGGCTCTAAGTGTTCATTATTGGATCTTATTGGCTTCCACTTTGAGGCGAGGTTCATATAGTGTTTTAATTAATCTAATAATTACGTGGAGCTTGGCCTGGGCAAGGAGGTGGGTGGGTATTCTGAGCACACTGCCATCAGAGGGCCCTTGTAGTGGTACAGGCTCGGGGCCCGTGCCTACCCCTTCTCCTGAGGTGGGGATTTTAAGATGTGGCTGAGCAGAGTCCTGGGCTCTTTCTCCACTGATAATTGCCCTTGATGCATATTTCCAGATATCCAAGACTGGAGCCCTCTCCTGCTGAGGCAAGAGATCCTTTTCCTTTGGGAAAGTCCAAGGTTTGGCAAGGATTGTTGGTGATCCTGGCACAATGTCCTGACAAGGCTGATCAGTGTGTGCCGAGCTGCCTCCGCAAACACAGCACTCACCAGATATCACAGCAAAAAAAAAAGGGTGGTTGTGTGGAGCCATTCATTCCTTGTAGAAGGGGCAGGTGGAAGGGGGCTGACCTCGAAGTTGAGGTCAATGATTTCTGGGCCAGATGTGTCTGGAACACCAGGATGGGGAGAGGAATGTGGCTGGCAGGGTGGGCAGAGCTTGATGGCATTGGAATGAAGCTCCAGAGGGCAAGGCACCCTCCTGGGATTATGACTGGGCCTGGTGATGGCAATGAGGAAGGGTGTGTTTGCCACCGAGATATTTAAGCATTGTTTCACGAGTCAGAGAACAAGGCTGGCTTGTTGCTTCATCCTAGGCTTTCAAATTCAGTTCTTAGCGTGACCCACTGAGGACACTGTTCCAGCCTAACTAGTAAGTGTCTCAACCATATTAGTCATTTTGAGAATTAAAAAAAGTTTAGCTTTATTTCTGGCAGTCGAGTTTGGATTTCGTTACTATGATGGACCTGAAATATGTACCCGTGTGGCTCTTGCACCACATACATCAGAATCATGTTAGGGGAGGGGTGTTGAAAAATGCACATGTCCCAGTCCCGTTGCACAGACAGAATTGGACGCTCTAGGGCAGGCCTTAGGAATATACTTGTTAAAACTTTCCAGGGTGAGGCTGAGAATGTTCCTTTTAAAGCCAATGTCTGGGATTTGACGGAGATAGAGGTGTCTGACGGCCTTCTAGAACCCAAAATTGAGTGAGTTTGCCCAGTCGGAGACCCTTGGTTCTCGGCGCCTCGGTTTCTTCCTCTGGCAGGATCTGGTCCTGTGCCCACTTGTTGCTAGGCTGCAGGACAAGGAAATTAATGCAAAGAGCTGGGTAAGGCGGTGCAGCCTTGTTGGCAGAGAAGAGCAGCTCTGACTCCACCTGGGTCCCCCCAAGTAACCCTGCAGCCACCCCTCTCCCCCAGCTCTGTGGGCGGCGGCTCCTTTAACAGACCCGATCAATCGCCCGCCCATTTCCGCGGCTGCTCCTCAGCGCGCAGGTAGGGGTTGGATTGGCTGGGACTGGCGTGAAGCCTGCTCCGCCCCCACCGCTGTGAGGCTGCCTCGGGCGCGGGGCGGTCCGCCGGCGGGGCGGGGCGGCCCGTGCCCGGGATAGGGCAGACGGCGGGACGGCGGCCAGGTCCTGAGCCGGATTCTCCGTCGCCGCGGGAGTATGGAGGCTGGCGCAGTACAATGAGGCAGCCAGCGGATCGGGGTGAGGGCGCCAGGGCCGGGCGGGCTGTCGGGGGAGCGCCCGTGGAGAAGGCCCGGGCTGGTGGTGGTGCGACCCCGTAGGGTCCAGGGTGCGCTCTGGATACGGCGGCAGTTGGCGCTGTGGGGCGTAAGCGCGGGGGCGGGGGTTGGGGGATATTTGGGGAGAGCCCAAGGCCCCGTCCTGTTGTCACGGCTCTGGGATTGACGGGTCGCCCACTTGCGACTCCCCTCGCCCCCTTCCTTTTTGGGGGGCATTGTGGGGTGGTTTGCGCTTGACCCTGGCCAGAGGTGCTCGCTGTCCAGTCCTCCTATCCTGCAGTCGTTAGGCTCCCGGCTCCGGGCTCGCGGGGGGGGGGGGGGGGTGGGGGGGGACCGTCCGCGTGGAAACTAGAAGAACAGCTTGTAATTTTATGAATGGGGCCCCGGGTTCCTGCCGCCCCCTTGCCCAGCATCGCGAAATGTTTGGAAGTCGAGAACCGCAGTTACTTTTACGCGGATCTGTCGGAGGCTGTTGGCGCCTTGCGTTGTTTTTCTCCAACTCCTGGAAATCGCGGGTGGCCGTGGGGTGGTTTGCATGCCTTAGACATGAGACGGCAGCGTGCCGAAAGACGGGAATCAGAAGGTTAACAAGTGACATTGGGCCGAGGCCTAACACCAGGTGTTCTGTCCCGGAGCGCGGGTGTGACGGTGGTTGCTGGTGAGCACACGCAGGAAACGGTGGGAGCGGGAGAAAGAATGAATAGTAGACTTCAGTTCCACCGCGCACACTGCCCAGAAAAGGCGGCTGACGTGGGGGTTGGTGGAGGGGAATTTCCCCTTTTGAAAAAGGTTTTTTGAATACTTAGCTCCTCGATGGGTTGATGGTTTACTTTATCGATTATTACAGGTTATGGGTACAGGGCATCAAATGTAAAGGCAAAGTCTGTTTCCACCCTCGCTCTTTTTCCCAAAGCTGTGAAGTACTTTGTCACTACATTTTATAGACACTGCACAGGGAGGAACAGCGTGGGCACCGTGAAGGCAGGGGTGGTGCCATATTTATGTTTGAAGTCCCAGGCTTTGATACCATGGCTGCTCACCACAAGAATTGAAAGGTACCAGCCTCTTGCATGTTTTACTGACTTTCATCCAAGGTCTCACAAGAGTCCTATCAGGAGTCAGATGTAAGCTGGAAGGTAAATAATGAATGACTTTTGTATGGAAACCAGTATGGGGAAAATGGAGAGGCAAATAAATGACCCTTGAGTTCTGGGTTAGGAAGTGTCTGAGGAATCTAGGTATGTGGGTTCAGAGCCCCATTACACAGTGAAGCCCATCTCATAGGAAGTGTTAGAAGAGTGGAACTGCCATTTCTGTTAGCTCTTACCCAGCCCTCAAACTAATGACTTTCACATTCTTCCGAAAGTCAGTAGTTGGTCCAAGCTTACGGAAAGCAGGTAAGCTTCCCGAGGTGATGGGGAGCAAGTGAGATTTTTGCCATATAATTCTTTCTTTCACAAGGGCCTCTGGGAGTGTCAGTGAAGGCTGGAGCAGGGGTGTGGAAGGGCTCTGGGTGATCTCAACTTGCCTGCACATTTATCTCCAGGAAAAGGTGCTGTGTCTGAGAGGAAGGAGATTAACAAATTGACTCAGGTTGGCTGGTGGTGGCAATGAGACAAATAACAAGTAATCCAAGGGCTGTGACAGATGAAAGGGAGGGAAGGTTCAAGAGTTTGGTTGGGCGGAGTGTGCTGGGCCTCACTGAGGTTTGAAGAGCAAGTAGAAGGCCATTGTGTGAGAGCATTGGAGACGTAGCTTACACCATACAGATTGTTTATTACGGTTATGTTTTAGACTGCGTCAGGGGGAGAAGCAGGAAAGACCAGGCTTTTAGGCAGAATAAATGTATAGGATACTTTGGAGTTTGGGTCAAAAAGAAATTGCAGTCAGAAATACTCAACTAATTATTATTGAGAATCAGGTGTGTGCCAGAAATTGCAAGGCATTGTGGGTTTGATGGAAGTAAAGGGAAAAAAAATGAGTTGAGAGTTTGTTTTTACCACACGATTCACCTGCTCTCCAAGTCAAAAGCTGTCATCTTCTGAGGATTTTCTGAGGCTCTGAGGACTTTCTGAGGCTTTAATGAAAGAGAGAAATGCATAGATTATTACTTAACATAAGAACAAAACAGAGTAGCAGCACAATTTACAATAGCCAAGAGCTGGAAGCAACCTAAGTGCCCATCAGTAAATGAATGGATCAAAAAATTATCCCTCAGGGTTTACTTTCTTCTGTCTAATCCTCATTCTCTCCTGAGGGTCCTCCTTGGGAATTGTTGAAGTCACAGGGAATATTTGTTCTTTGATTCTGTCCAAAGCAGAAGCAGAAGGTGGATAGTTTATGTAATTTTCATTAATTTATTAACTTATTATGTAGAGGAGAAGGGGGAGAGTGAGAGAAGGAGGGAGGGATGGGGAGAGAGAAAGACAAGAGAAAAAGAAAGAAACATTCATTTGCACTTCCACTTATTGATGCATTCATTGGTGGTTTCTTGTATGTGCTCTGACCTGGTATTGAACCTGCAACCTTGACTTATTGGGTCAACACTGAAACCAGTTGAGCCACCCGTCCAGAGCCAGAAGGTGGCTAGTTTAGAAAAGAGTATTTGTTGAAGTACAACTTTGCTAGGTACTACTTTCTTTATACACATACATACACAGGGTCCAGCACAAATAATACCCCTTTTTAAAAAATTACAAAATGACAAGTATGTAATTCTGTAACATAACAATATCACACTCAAGCACACCATATGACATTTTAGGTGAAATTGCTGTCCATCGCGTGTGGGATTTTCATGTACCCTACTAACCACACTCAAGCAAGCCCTACTTCTGCTG